TAACGAAAAAATACTTAAGTATAGTGTTTTGGAAAGCTCTCGAGATAAGCTACAAGAATATACAATAAAAAATGGGGGTATCCATTTAAAAACATCATTGTGACCTTGACCTGATCTTTATGACGCAACTCAAGGTCAAACTGCTAATATCATAAAATAGATCTTTTTAAACCCTACAACTTTTGTATTTAACATTTTTTTATACAACGCTTTGTTTTCGAGATATTCAGGTGTTCCGGTATATAATATTCACCCTGTATATATGTATGTATGTATATACTAGGTGCGCAACTAAGTTTCCGGGTTTTTTTGATCAATGAAAAATGGAAAATTTCAAGAGAAATACAAAAAATGGTTTATTCAAAGTATCGTCCCTCGCTAGCTATACATTTTTGCCATCTCTCTGGCAATACATGAATACCGCGACGATAAAACGACGCGTCTTTGGACCGAAACCATTCATCCAACCAATTTTGCACTTCTTCGAAATTGGCCAAGTGTAGCCCAGCCAAGCCATGTGCCATCGACCGGAACAAGTGATAATCGGAAGGAGCCAAGTCTGGTGAATACGGCGGGTGCAGTAGCAGATCCCATTTCAGCGTTTTGATGGTGTCCTGGACGATGGAAGTGCGATGGCACGGAGCGTTGTCGTGCTGCAATATCACTCGTTCGTGTCTCGTGTCCCATTCTGGCCGTTTTTCGAGCAATGCATGGTTCAAATTGATCAGTTGTTGTCGGTAGCGATGCTCATTGACAGTTTCGCCCGGTTTCAGCAGCTCATAGTACACGATTCCTTTCTGGTCCCACCAAACGCAGAGCATTGTCTTCGATGTTGATGCTTCGCCAGATGAAAGCCACGATTTTTTACGTTTGGGATTCTCGAAATATATCCACTTCTCATCGCCAGTACACAATTCGATGCAGGAAACTCTTTCTTTCGCAAAAGCAAAATTTCGGAAGTGGCTCTTCGATTTTCCATCTGTCTCTCAGTCAACTCATGCGGCACCCATTTTCCTTCCTTTTGAATTTTTCCCATGGCATGTAAA